ATGGTGATTATAGAGCCACCACTTTCTTGAATTTCTTTATTTCTTTTTTTATTTGCCGGTGAGTGAAGAGTGATTACTGCTGTGTCTCACTTGTTCTTTTGCCTTAAATTAGTCACAATATATAATTAAATAATTGAATATTACTTGTGTAGATATTACATGGAAACATAAAATTGAAGTTATAGCAAAGGTGAAATAAGACTATCTAATATGACTTACCTATTGGTTAATAAAATATTTTTTCCATATTTTAAGAATACTACCTGGAAATAATTCAGGGATTTTAGGATTAGCAGTTGTACTAAGGTTGATTCTCAATGTTTTAATTTTTAACACAAATGGTGTCAAATTATAATCCTTAATGATCTTGACTTTTGCGTTTTATTTATTTGTATACATCTTGCCTCTTTTAATAATTATTAAACTTCTAGTGTAATAGTAATACCATCTTCATTAACCTTTTCACAGAAAAAATAGAGAAGCTATTATAAATAATTTGAAAACTATACCATTATGCAAATACAGCAAATAACAAATATTTGCAGAAATCTTGGAAATCTCATTGATGATAAGGATGACAGTGATGAATAAAGAAAAGATATAATTACTATTAAATTAATTTTACTCATTAATGTGAGCTATTTATAAGGGGCAATACTACGCATTCACTTGTATGACCTCATCCACAGTTGAAATAATCGATATTTTATTTTGCTCTGTTTATAATTATGTATCCAAGTGTTAAATTCACCAAACCACGTTTATATTTCTCATCAATAACAAAATAGTGAGTAGATCTAATTTTGACTCCAAGAAAGCATATGTTCGGTGAGGCATACACCACAGACAACTTTAAATGTATACACACTCTAACAATATCTGTAGATTAATCAGAATATCACTTAGCCTACCTAGTGAATCATTAATAGTTAGTACTGATGATTGACCATAGTGGGATTTCATGATTTGGAACAACACAAATCCTCACTGTGTATTTACAATCTCTTCAAACCTTAATATTTTTTGTGTTTCTTAAACTCTGTTCCTAGATAAACAAATCAATAGAATTTGCTTCAACAATAAGGACTAACTTCTAAAGCACCTGTATAATACAAACTATTATGCACTTTCTGCCTCCAGAGTTAAATTGATCATAGGAACTTTTGATGCAATGAGTATTAATTACATGAAGAATTATGGGCATGGAAGCATATTGTTCTTCTTCAAGCTGTCAGAAGACATTCTGACTCTTTGAAAGCTGATTTACAAAAGAGGAAGATTTAAATATCTGATCGTAATCATGACTAACCACTGGCAATAGATGTGCAGAATGAGGTGTGATAAGTCACTTGTATAGAGCTAAAGTTGAATATTCAAAGTCAACGCATACAGAATCACCCTGTTTTTTGTTTGTTTGTTTGTTTCCCAGACTTGAAAGTGAGGAAGGGGCATTACTGTCTGGAGAAAGTTAATAGAAGTCTATACTTCTGCTTTCCTTCCACGTACAGATGTGGTCCATGTGTAAGGCTTTTCTCTTCTTATCTATGAAATCATCTCTACAAAGCGTTCTACTTGCTCTTTCTTTTCATATGTCATTATTGCTGATGGCCAAATGATAAGGTTTCAGGGGATTTAAAACATTCAAGATGAAAATATATTTATACCTCTTGCTGTTTTAGTGGACAAAAGACACGTGATTTATTTATTTATTTATTTATTTTGACATTTTGTTAGGGGCTCATACAACTGTTATCCCAATCAATACACACATCAATTATGTAAAGCGCATTTGTACATCATTCTCAAAACATTTTCTCTCCACTTAAACCCCCAACATTAGGTCCTCATTTTTCCCCTCCCTCCCCGCTCCCCCCTCCCTCATGAGCCCTTGATAGTTTATAAATTGGTATTTTGTCATATCTCGCCCTGTCCGACGTCTCCCTTCACCCACTTTTCGGTTGTCTGTCCCCCAGGGAGGAGGTCACACACAGTTCCATGTAATCGGTTCCCTCTTTCCAACCCACTCTCCCTCTACCCTCCCTGTTTTGCCACTCACACCACTGGTCCTGTATGGCATCTGCGCTGGATTCCCTGTATTTTCAGTTCCTATCTGTACCAGTGTACATCCTCTGGTCTAGCCAGACTTGCAAGGTCAAATTCAAGTCATGGTAGTGGGAGCGGGGAGGAAACATTTAGGAACTAGAGGAAAGTTGTATTTCTCAAGAGAGTCTGGGATTTATTTTTATACAATTACAAACATCCTTTTTTCTTTATGGCTTTGTAACTTGAAACAAAACTTGGACTGCTTCCTTGCATGCACAGAGCTTGGTTAAATTATCACAGGATGGGATATCAGCACTTAAAAACATGTAAACATGGGTAATCCATGGACAGTCACAAAATGCTGGTTCAAGTACCAGATCTGAGGTGGCATTTATTATTTGTTTATTCTATTTTCTTCTTCATCTTTAAGCTAGTATAATATTGATTACTTTATGAAGACTTGTAATAGACATCTCTTTATAAAATATAATAGGAGCCATTGAAATTGAAATTATAATTTCTTTGATAATTTCAAATGCTTCATTTTCAATCATCAATAATCTAAGCTACAAATTTAGTTTTCCAGTATTATATCAATGTAATATGGAGATATGTTGAATTCAAATGACATCTAAATTATGATTTATAATTATTTTCTTTCCGAAGTTACAGTAATAAAGGAATCATAATCTTCATGCAGGATCAGGGCCCTACTGTTAGCTTTCTGAAAATTTGCCTTGAGATTTAAGTATGCAATAGTTTAAGTACATTTAAGTTATCATCAGTGACATAACTTTAAATCATTGTCTGGTCTGTTCAAGGAATAAATGAGCATAATATCAATAGCAGAGGAAGTTAAATAATGGCATCCTAACTTAGTCACCTTCCAGCCTAAAGGTAAAGTTTAAAAATAATTTTATACTTTTTACTATATATTTACCCCTATATTTTAAATCAGTATGACTATCTTCTAAAGTTTAATTCCTAGATCCCAAATAATCCCTCATCCCTCAGACTGTTGCATATGATAGACTGCACCACCCACTCCACCAAACACCACCTCTCCACACCTATTCCCTTTCTGTCATCCTCTCAACATAGTTACATCCCACTTTGTGCCTTATGAAAAAAGCTAGACAGCATTGTTCCAGTTTCTAGAATGTGTTGCTTATATTTAAAAGAAATTAACAATTTGAAATATCTAATGATATTTTAACAGTTTTATGATCCTATAATTAACATACTGTACAAGTTAATTGTTCAGTAATATTAACAAGAGGCGTGCAAGCATCACCGTCATTAATTTCAGAACATTTTCTTCTTATACTCATTATTAGCTCTCCATTGCCACTCCTTCTTCCCTGCCCTGCCCTTCATTATTTATGAATTCAGTTACTATCTCTTTAGATTAACTATCCTGGATTTCATTTACAGAAAACTATACAAAACACACACATATGCACACCCAAAACAAAAAACGAACCACAATGACAAAACAAAACAGGTAAAATCTCACTCAAAGAGAAAGCAGAAAATATTAAAAATTGAAACAACATTAAAATGAGTTAAAGGGAGATCAAGTGATAAAATATTCCAGTTTAACTACATCTGCCACAATTGACTTTGCAATGCTCTCTGTCTGAAAACCCAAGCTATTCACATCTCTCATCTTTGGTCGGAAGGAATTTCTCCTGAGGCTTAATCCACGTGAGGACACTACACATTGATTTTGGACTTCCATTGTCACCCATAGCCTTCTGCAAGCTGATCATTTACCATTCCCTCCTTCAGATTTTGATTTCATTATTTACAATCCTTGGATCACTTAGGCTGGTGTTTTTCTTCCATGTGGGTTTAGTTCATCCCTCACTTAGATGGCTCTTTGTTTTAAGACAAGCCTTTAAGACTCCAAACAAAATTATTTCTCAAAGCCATGCACCATCTTGTTCCTTCACCGCAGTTTCCTATAACATCTACAATTTTAGTGATCTCTTTATAAGGGCAAGTATCAAGCAGGACCCTGTCATAATAACTAATTGTTCTTTGGGGCTAGAATTAAAGGTGAGCCCCAATCCATTAATATATCTATGCTTTATATATGTCTCAGGTTCACTTCAGAGAGATTATTATATTTTATGGTGGAGAACATTATAAATCATTCCCCTGGGGCAAGAGGTGATTCTATTGATGGTGTGACAAATTTGGCCCATGGTATAGAATTTAAAGTACTGTAGAGAAAAGGAAATTATACATACTGTATGTATGCTGGCTTTTCAGATGGCAATGCATGAATTGTTGACTTGTACAAATTAAATGTTTAAGTGATTGATTACTCTATTTCTTTCTTATGAACTACTACTACTACTATTATCAATTGGGCTCACACTTAATTGTCATGGCCTCAGAACAGAAAATCCAAATAATGTTGCCTGATATTGACTTCTAAAAAGTTTGATATGGCTTTCTTATATAAAAGTCACTCAAGAAAGGATTGTAGCCCTTCAACATGTACAATACGATACTGCAGTAAATCTTAAGTTGTATATTTTGAAGAAAATTTATATTCCCTGAGGTTATAAATGTATTTATGACCTCATAATTATAGACAGACTTTCCATGTATAAATCCTCAATGCATATAAATTGATTATAAGAATTCATATTGTGTATCCCTAATTTAATGTGTAATCATAAAACAACCATACACAACCAAATAATTACAAAAATATGTTTTCCATTATTTTCTTGGTTACATATAGAATATTTTGCTCATAAATATTTGTCTCCTTAAATTTGATTGAAAGTTAAAAATTAGGTTGCTTTTTGAAGTAGTCAGAGTCTTTATTTAAAATATGTAGAATTCAGGAATGATTAATATTTTCATTAAAATAATTCTAGAAAACAGCTTCATTTACATAATTTCATTTTCTGATTTTAGAAAGCAAGCATAAATATCTGATGGAAAATTATAACGCAACATCAACTGATTTCATCTTAGTAGGACTGCTACTACCATCAAAACTTGGCTCGTTTCTCTTCATTCTCATCCTTCTCGTTTTCCTATTGGCTCTGATAGGCAACCTGACCATGATTCTGCTCATTCTCCTGGAGAACCAGCTCCACACACCCATGTATTTCCTACTTAGTCAGCTCTCCCTCGTAGATCTGAACTACATTTCCACCATTGTCCCCAAGATGGCCTTCAACTTCCTCTTTGAAAACAAGTCCATCTCCTTCTTGGGTTGCGGCGTCCAGAGCTTCTTCTTCTTGACTCTGGGAGGGGCAGAAGCACTTCTCTTGACATCGATGGCCTATGACCGCTATGTGGCCATTTGCTTTCCTCTTCACTACCCTATTAGGATGAATAAAAATGCCTGTGTCCTAATGATTGCAGCATCTTGGGTAATGGGCTCTATCAACTCCTGTGCTCACACGGCATATGCATTCCATATTCCCTATTGTCGATCCAGGGTCATAAATCATTTTTTCTGTGATATTCCAGCCATGCTGACTCTGGCTTGCATGGACACCTGGGTCTATGAATACACGGTGTTTGTGAGCACAACTGTGTTCCTGGTGCTTCCTTTCATCGGCATTACTTGTTCCTATGGCCGCGTTCTCCTCGCTGTGCACCGCATTCCCTCCTCAGAAGGGAGGAAGAAGGCTTATTCCACCTGCAGCACCCACCTCACGGTGGTGACTTTCTACTATGCACCCTTTGCTTACACCTATCTACGCCCACGATCCTTTAGATCTCCAACAGAAGACAAGGTTCTTGCTGTTTTCTATACTATCATCACTCCGATGCTCAACCCTGTCATCTACAGTCTGAGGAACAAAGAGGTGATGGGGGGCTTCAGGAGGATAATTCATAGGATCACCCTTGTGAAAGCATAGACATAAAGTCCACATCTGAGGAAAATAACTAAGTTTATAGGATTGAAAAACTGATACTTGGTATACATACACACACACACAAAATATATACCCATGTCACAGTTTTTATGATATTTCTAGTGATGAGTTTTCATCCATGTAATATATGTGTATATATATATTTCAAATAACCTCTTGATATTAAGATTTTATTAAAATGTATGTTATTCTATATTTAGTTTTTTTTCTAAATATGAGTAAGCTAGGACAACAGAAAAATAAATATTTTTAAATGGTAGGCCCTTGATTGAAAGCAAGTTAATATTAGATTTATTTAATTTTTACTCTGAATCATTATTATTCTTATCTTCTTAGTATTTAGAACTTACAGATGTATTGATTGGGTAGAAAGTTCTCAAATATTTAGAAGATCTTATAACTCTGGACTAATGGCAAATTTTTGTCTTCAGTGAAATTTATCTGGGTTAATACTAAAAAATGTATTTATTAACATGTCCACTTCAGAGTAGATAATTAGATTTCAGAAGTTTCCAACTAGATTTTATAATACTGAGAGCCTATAAGAAGACTAATATAATTTATGCACTATCCATGCATTCTGCCTCCACTTACAGACTTCTTAGCATTCTATTTTCCCTCTGCGTTCAATAATTCATTGCAAAGGTCACTCAGAACTCACAGATAATGCTCATGATTATGAGGTTTATTATGGAAGCTAACCGGTTACAGTTCAGGGGGGATATGCTCACAATAGAGTTGTTCAGTTAGAGCATTTTACAAAGTTCTTTCAGGGTTGCTAATAAATGTCCACAGGACATGCCATTCTGCTGTAAGCCTCAAGCAGGAAGCAGGAAGCAGTCAGTCAAGGTCGCTAACTCCACAGGACATGCCATTCTGCTGTAAGCCTCAAGCAGGAAGCAGGAAGCAGTCAGTCAAGGTCGCTAACTCCATCCAAATGCACCCCTACAAAGAAGCCTCGACTACAAAACTCAACCAGAAAGCACTCCGCTCCAACTCAGTGGGCCAGCAAAACCAGTTCCCTTGGCTAAGTGATCAGAGACACCCGAATACACAGGCCATCCTCCTGCCCCCAAACACTCAGTGTCACTTGCTCTGTGGATTGGGGAGTTCACCCTTCTTTCGCACTTTGGTTCCTGGTTCTGCTGCTCCTACTCTTCTGTCACTCCCCTGGTGTCAAAGCTGTCTTCCTGGATCAAGGAGAATCACTGCAAAGGGTTCCTGGGGTCCAGAGCAGGTGCTCCACTCCTGGCTTTCACTGGCAGTCAGCTCTCCCCTCCTGCTTCTGAGCTGGCTTATGCTAATACCCACCAGGATGGAAGTCACAGGGAAGCCTGCTAAGAAGAACTCAAAACTGAATTCTGTCAGTATCTTTCCCAATGCTCTGTTAAGCGGACTCAGCAGAAAAATGTACTTTGGTGGGGGTTACAGAAAGTATGATAGAAGAGCACATTTAATAATTACTTCCTTGCACAAAGCCTTTTTTGCAATAAGCTTGCAGTATATAATCAATGACTTTTTGTCTTTTCCAAAAACTTTAAAAGTTAAAATATTTTCAAAATACTTCCAAATAAAAACACTTTTATATGGAACCATTATTACTATTTAATTAAACCTATTATTAATTCAATTAGTAGAGACCATGAACAATCTAAGCATACTTAAAATATTATATAACATTTTAAATTGCATTATTTCATATTTTAAAAATATTATTCCCCCAAATGACTGAATTTTATAGCCTATCTCAATAATATAAGATTGTTCAATACCAGAATAGACCTTTCCAACAAAATAAACACAATTTGACAATACAAAATACCTAAAGTAAACCTTTAAAAACTTTTAAGCGCAATATTTGAATTGTTTATATATTTTATTAACATATGTATAATTTTGGTACGTTTTTATATATAAATTGTTTATATATTTTATTAAATTTCTCACATTCTACTTTTAATTATTAATTTTGTTGGCCGATATGATGAAATTGATGAACAAATTGATCTACACATGCATCATTATTACAAAATTATTGAAAACTCTACATGAAATAAATAACTCTCCAAATTATTAGTGAAATTATAATATTAGGAGGATTAATGTAAATGTTACATTCCTCATGAAATTGATTATTAGTACATCTGTTAAAACTGGGCGGAAAAGTATCCCAACTACTCCACAAAGCTTTGCCTGGGATTTCCCGTGTCACTATTTAATTGTTCTACATAGTCCATGTCTCATTGGAAATTCTGAAATTAATAAAGCAAACCAAAATGTCAAATAAAACCAAGTATTAGATTCAATAAGTAGGTCAAGAAAGCTTGCAATCAGCTTTTTGGTGACTCTTGGTGATTCTTCATTGAGGTATTTAGTGTTAAGTGCACAGAAGCAGGATAAATATGATTTTTCCCCAAAATATATTCAGAAAACCTTACTCAGGAGATAAATTAATTTATTAATATGGTGATTTGTAAGATTACAATCATCTGATAAAACCAGGCATTCATGAATGTAGAAGCATTAAAAAACAAAACAAAACAAACCAAGCAAGTAATTATTCTAATTATACTCATCACAAAGAAATCAACTCTTCTGCAAGCAATAAAAGCAACTTCAGAATATGTACATACAATTTTTTATAAAGTTTTAAAATATGCAATTGAATAAACAATATGTTTTATTAATCAAACAACTCCTAAAGATTATTTTATTTTACTCAACTGGGTTTTAAAAATGCCAGCTCAGATAATTAAATTCAGTCACTTTCTACAACTTAAATTAAGTTGTGTCCCATCCCTTTTTTAATTCATTTGTACAATGAAGTTCTATCACCCATCATGATCCAAAACAAATTACAAATTCTATGTTCTACTAATTGGCTTATGTTTCTCTATTTGCTGTCATATCTGTTTACCTACATATTGATTGTCTATGATTCATGTTGATGACTGAACAGTGTAGAATTACATGGAGGGATATGAATTAGAAACACCCATAACCACACATACAAATATTCACTGTTCATTTTCTTTGTACTGTTTATACTCTATGTATTCTTTAATACAAGACAATTTTAGACTTCTCGAATTTAGAACCTTTTAAATAATTTAAAATATTATTTGTCTAATACTAAATATAATTAGTTCCTAAATCCTGAAATAATATAAACGATTGTGTGTTAAAGGCGCTCTGGGTATGTAGTGGTTATGTATTGGGCTGATAACCACAAGGTCAGTAGTTCAAAATCATCAACTACTCTGGGGGAGAAAGAGGAGGATTTCTATTCCCATAAAAAGTTAGTCCAGTCAGAATATACTGGATATCAGAGAGCATTATGTGTTATTTCTCATTAGTTGTGATGGTAATTGATAGCATGGAGGTACTGTGTAATCACATGTAGAAGTATATGTAAGAAATCTATAGGCTAATTATCAGGGGGCACTTTTATGTGTATTTGATTCTGATTCTGTAGAACATGCTTTGAAGCACTGTTAATTCCAGGTAATGTTTGGCAATGTAAAATAATCTCATCTACAGACTTACAGGTTCATGTCTGTTAGACATCCCAAAGAACTGAGGCTAGTTTATGGACACACTGATTACAAAGTCTTCCGTATCAATGGACTTTTTTCCAAATGAGTAAAGAAAGTCACATAGCGGAAGGGCCAGAACTGTAAGCATCTTGAGACGAGAGAGAAAGTGACCAAATTAAGAGAAATTTAATTGAAGATTTCTTCGATTTTTGATGCTTCCAATAATTGAAACTTATCAGGCAAGAAATCAAGTGATGGAAATCAAATCAGGAAATCAAATGCATTCGTTAAATCTCCTCCAAGAGACATATTTAAAATGCTAAAGAGCAAAAGTGTCACTTTAAGGGCACGACCCAAGACATGGTACTTTTAATTGTCTTAAATGCACATGAAAGATGGACAATAAATAAGACAGAATGATAAATAATTGATACACTTGATTTACAATATTGGAGAATATTGAAAGCTTGAGGATGATGATGCTTCTTTCCACATGCTTTGGACATCCTATCAGAAAAGACCAGGCCCTGAAGGAAATCACGCAGGGAAAAATAGAGGGCTGTGGAAAAAGATGAAGGGCCTCACAAATTGGACTGACACGGTGACTACAACCATGAGCTCAAAGAGAACACGTTGGATGATGGTATAGAAGGGATAGTGTTTTACTCGACTGTACTTTGGGTTTGTCTGAGTCTGATTTGACTTGATGGCACCCACTGGCATCAAACACATACAACAATCTTGCAAGCAAAACTAAATAATTATGGTAAAGTCACAGTCTGGTTTCACTTATGCATATAATTAGGCCAAATCAAATGCGATGATCTATCTTGTCCTCAAGAATGGAATCTTTTTTGAAAATAATTTTAAAAAACCCCAGAGTGAATGAAAGTTTATATTTCCACAGAAATAATGCACTCCTTATCTTTTAAAAAACACTACCTTCACACCCCCCCCTCAGATAACCTAGTTCTCTCTCTAGATCACTGTGTTAATTACAAAACTCAGCTCATGTATTTGGCCTTCAGTGAATTTTATCCTTATAACAATGTGACTCATATATTTCTTAATCTACTTACTCTCTATCTATGTTAAAATACACGTATTTTATTTATATATGTTAAGATACACGAATATGAAACATACAGGTTTTAAAAATAAATAACTCAAAAATCTATAAATACTATGGAAATATATAAAGAAGAATGTAACATTAAAATTGGGTTAAGGGTAATTAACAACCTGAACTGCTACAATGACACAACCTTGCTTGCTTTAAACAAAGAGTACTTTAAGGACTTATTAACAAATACTACGGTAATCATATGGATTACAATATAAATCAGTGTAAAGAAAATACAAATCCTTTCAAGTGGGCTAATAGACAACATCATAAGAGAAGAAATTTTACACTTGTTGATGATTTTAGTTTACTAGGAACCACAA